CAATCAACATTTGATAATTTCGAAAAATGTGATATGATTATTGAAGCTGTTTTTGAAGATCTTAAATTAAAACAAAATGTTCTTGCTGAACTTGAACAACGCATTCCAGAACATTGTGTATTTGCTTCAAATACATCAGCATTACCTATTCATCAAATAGCTGCTAATAGTCGACGTCCACAAAAAGTATATATTAAAATTTAAACTCAAAAAAAACAAAAACAAAGATTAAATGTGTATTTTAGGTTATTGGTATGCATTATTTTTCACCCGTAGATAAAATGGAATTATTAGAAATTGTTCGAGCTAAACAAACATCCGATGATACAGTACGTTCAGCTGTTAGTGTTGGTCTTAAACAAGGCAAAGTTGTTATTGTTGTTGGTGATGGTCCAGGTTTTTATACAACACGTTTAATAATGTTTGCTGGTTCAGAAGTATTTGATCTTCTTCAAGAAGGTGTTTCACCAAAAGATATTGATAAAGCAACAAAAAATTTTGGTTTTCCTGTTGGTTCTGCAACATTATTTGATGAAATTGGTATTGATGTTGCTGCTCATATAGCACGTGATATGCATGCTGCTTTTGGTGAACGTCTTACTGATCAATCAATGCCACAATTATTTCAAGAACTTGTAGCAAATAATTTACATGGAAGAAAATCAGGGCAAGGTTTATATATTTATCAAAAAGGTGTTAAAGGTGGTGCTCGTGAAATTAATCCAAAATTTACTGAAATAATAAAAAATTATTCCAAAGAACCTAAAGAAAAGTAAATATGAGTGTATTATTTAGTTTAGATTACATTCAATGTGATTATATTATAATTAAATGAAAATAACAATAGTTTGCGAATGTATTTATATTACTAAAAACAAAAAAAAAACAACTATCAACTTTCAAGTTCTGTAAAAAATACATCCTATACCAAAATATGAAATACTAAAGTCACATAAAAGCATGTTACCGTTCAGTTAATTTATAAATGAAACGCTCCGAGATTGAATGAATCTGATGGACTAGTACCAATATCTCTGGTCAAATATAGTTACAGCAATGGAATTAGAAACACTTTTTTGAAAATTGGCGCGACGGAGGCACGTTTATTTTATGGTTCATCGTGGCAGTAGTGCAGCAGCTTTTTTTTCTAAGGCTGCGATACGATAGCGGCAGATTTTCAGTCGCGATGGACGTCTCTGGTCGAAACGATGGAATAAAATTTCGTTTTTATGATTTTTGAATTTTTATTTTTATACATTGATGTACTTTGAATACGAAGATTTTGTCTGTCTTACAGTATATTTAATGATTGCAAATTCATAGAAGAACAAATAACATTTTGTAAAACGAGAATTTCTAAAAAAACTTGACGAAAATAGAAATTAAAAAAAATTGATCTTGCAGAATTCTATTACAGATTAATAAGGAAACCTTCTTATCTATCCTCTTTCGATTTCAATGATTTGTTTTTTCGCCTATAGATATTATATAATATTCTAAAAAATTTCTAAGAGGATTTTGGAAAATTTTTCACTCCGAAACCCGACTCCGACTTCTAAAAAAAATTTTTTGCGACTCCGATTCCAACTCCGACTCCGAAACTGTGTTTTGTAGTTTATCGACATAAAATTCATACCAAGGTTCGATATTCTGAAAGGAGAAAAACAATTGGCGACTCAATAAGAAATAAAATACAGTTTATTTTGTTATAAGACATATTTCGCTATGTTTTGTTTTCAGAAACAAAAAAAGAGAAATTATGAGTAACAAATTTTAGCACATAATTGATGATTATCGGAGTCGGACTTTTTATTTGTGTTCGCGACTCCGACTCCGTTGGAGTCGGAATCGGGTTTCGTAGTCCTATGCAGTTCACTACAATCGAGACATTCTGAACATTTTGTCATATACTACATCATTCGTTCGAAAGTACAGGAAAATTAAAAATCTCCAGTTTATGCTTTTTTTTCAAATGAATACTAATATGTTATTTAATTGAATATTTAGAGTAACAATGGAAAATATTCAATGGCGTACAGGTCTTCGATTTTTAAATGAAGCAGCACGATGTCTTGAAGAAAAAATTATTACATCTCCAGTATGTATTTAAACATTATATATCTTAAGAATAAAATTAAATTGTAATATGAATTTTTAGACCGATGGTGATATTGGTGCAGTATTTGGTCTTGGATTTCCTCCAATGAAAGGCGGTAAAAAAAAAATAATTCTTATATTTTCAATATTTATTTTTGTTCAATTTTTTTTTTTATTTCAGGTCCATTCCGTTTTATTGATACATATGGTGTTTCAAAAATAGTTGACTTAATGAATAATTATCGTAGTAAATATGGTGATCGATTTACACCAACACAATTATTAGTTGATATGGCCAAAGAAAACAAGAAATTTTATTCATGACTCTAATAAATAACAATAAACGTTTTTCTTTACATTTCATTATAATAAACATATTATTAGGAAAAACCAAATAAAACAGAAATTTAACAAATTGATCAAATCGAATTTTATTTATATTAGACTCATAACTAACAAGTCTTTTAAGATGAATTTACTAAAATTCAATTCTTAGGCTGACAAAAATGCATTAATAGTTCGAGATCTCAATAATGAATGCTTAGAAAAACAAATAATTCTATACGTTTTGTTTTTTTTTGTTGGCTAATAGAATTTCAGTCTACTAAAGAATTAAAGCAAATTTCAAACTGTGATCAAAAACAAAGGAAAAATTTTGGTTTTTCTAGCAGCTTAATGAATCGTTGTTATATTTCATTTAAGACAGTAAGATATATCTTATTGTACAATATCAATATTAATAATTCTATCAGAAAACTATTTATTCATATACATGTTTTCTATTAAATACCTCTCTTAATATTGATTTCCATGCAGATAAAAATCAAGCAAATGTCATAGGACTCTTCATAAAAAGAAAAACAATTGTACAAAACAATGTTTCAACGTCCAACCTTATTTTTGCGTGTATATGCATTTAAATGTATGATTTTTAGTATTATTTTATGAAATACAACGAGTTTTTTAAAAACTGTGCTAGAGCATAGTATTTATAATGTGATTTTTTTTTTCGAAAAAAAAACGAATTGTTTCACAAACAAGTTAAATGAATATTTGAATTCGTATTCTGACTAAAAATGCATTTCTATAAAATAAAAGTCTTTCAACATATAGATAAACATTTCGTGTTATCACACTCAAAAACATATCGCTTAAATGGGATCATCTCGAGATAAACATTTGATTAATGGGAAAGAAAAAAATAGTGGAATAACAAACGCGGCTAGCGAAAAATTAATAAAACCAATCTATCTTAGTTTTAAAAAATTCTTAAGCAAGTTGGAAAATTTATAGATAACACGACACCGAGATTAGAATTCTGTTAAGTTCTTTTTTTTCTGTACAACGATTAATCATAAAGTGCTTCTAGTGATCCATAGTTAGACAGCAGTGTCCAAGGACTGAGAAATAGGAATTCCTAATTTGCAGAGGAATTGTCAGTGTAGCTATGATAATTCCTTGGGGAAATGGGAATTGACCATTATTTCCATCACAGTTCCCTCATTCATGGAAGTCAAGATAATGCTTCTTTTGCAATAATTTTCGTACTCATACGTTCATGTGCACAAATTTCTTGATGAAAACGAGTGTAAGAGTAATAAGTACCGTGGATATTGTACTTTTTTAATTTTAGCGTTCAAGGAAATGTCAGGAAACTGAGTAGGAATTCCTATTCCTCAGTCCTTGGACACCCCTCTTTCAAAATATTACTTGGCTGACTAAAAATATCATTCAACTTTGATTCGAAATTTTGGAACATAGAATTATTTAAATAATTCGTAGGTTTCTGTGCCCATACTCAGCCATATTGCTATTAAAATAGTAGATTCAGAATCGACAAAAAACAACTCAGTCGAATAAGGTGACCCAATCATTTTCTCCAAGGCTTCGATATTTTGAAGAATTTTGAGACGAAAAAAAAAAACAAAACAACATACTCACGAAACACTAAGAATCAAGGAAATACTAGTTTGAAATGTATCTTAATCGATAGTTGTTTTTGTCGATTGAAAATCCATCACTGTAATCAAAATATGGCTGAGTTTTGGTACAGAAAACTATGAATTATCTCAAGAGTATTTGATAGTAATAATGGCATCTAAAAGTTAACTAGTATGTCATGACATAGAAGAAAACTATATGACTCTACAAAAATAATCCATAAATGTCTCAAACTTTAACTTTGACTTATTTTCATGTGCCACATATTTTATACGCTTATTATTATTGATTAGCACTAGAAATAACTCACGTAGACTTAATTTTTGACTACGAATCTGAATATATCAATTTTAAAATTCCAATACAATGAAACTTTATTCTTAAATCGACAAAATGTGTCAGATTTTTAACACGTGAGATGTTGTAGTCGGAAAAATTATCGTTCAAGACTGTCTAGAAGCTTTGTAGTTTCTAACAAAATTCTTTCTAAAGAAAATTGAAATGTACATATTCTCACTCGATTCATCGAACTGCATTTAACGATACATAAAAAGAAAACGAAAAGCAAATTTATTTTAATTAGCGTTGTTTGCATCTTATGCAAATATAACATCTGAAAGAACGAATGATGAAGAAAGAAGCACTATAAACTTAATCAACGAAAACAGCAAATCTAGAAGTATTTAAAATGATTTATTTCTTTTGTAACCAACGGAATAGCATAAATTGTACTTTATAATAAATCTTTCACTTTATACATCAAATAAATGCAATACTGTTGCTTAGAAATTAACGTCCATTAATGCCTTCCAGATGATATAGATTATTTTTTATAATGCACGTACCTTTTTACTTTTCATTATATTCATCATTGAAAACAATTGTTTAAAAGTGCTTTACTATTCTATCCATTGGTTAGTAGCAATTTCTTCATTTCATCATTTCATTTCGATTTACGATAGATGACAATCAGTCGACTCCTTTTCATCTTTTTATTTCTACGAGTTTCTATTATACATACTTCTCATTTTCGTGGCGGTACCATTACATGGTTAGTATCTGACAATCTATTTTTATCAAGTTTTTGAAAAGTAACTATTTTATAGGCGTCCTTTCAATAATACTCCATCGGGTAGTACTGTTGACATTCAAGTACGCCAACGATATTCGTGGCGTCGTTCATCCGTTGCGTGCACCGATACGACCATAGCTAACCGAGGTCTTATCGGAAGTAGTTACAATGTCATTTGTGTGACTGGTACCTGTTCTTCTTGGACCATTCTCAATACACAGACACACTGTACTGATTATAGTGATGGTCTTGATGTTAGTTCTGGTGAAAAATATGACACAGTAACAATAACAAATGGCATTTCATTTAGTATTGTGTTTGGCGAAAGTGCCTGGTTGTCAAATCTTGTTGTTGGATCTAGCACTGACTGGAAGGTTGTCAATCGAATAAATACTATTGTTCGATCTGATGGTTATATAAATTCAAGTCCTGTTGCTACCACTCTTCCTGTCATTTACAAAGCTATTAATCAACAGCATGTACATATTGTTCAAATATCTGATTTTGATGGAGGTGATATATTAAAATGTCGTTGGTCTACTTCATCAACAACCAATTATAATTCATATGATGAATGTGGCGGTGTATGTTCAGGTGTACCTGGTGCCGTTCTTCACAGTGATAATTGTACATTAGTCTTCACACTTACACAAGCTGCAGTATACGCTGCAGTAGCTATACAAATTGAAGATTATTATAATAGTGCATCAGCAACACCAATGAGTTCTGTTCCACTTCAATTTCTTTTTTATGGTTATGCTGTACCTAGTGGTTGTAGTACTCCACCAAGTATCATTGGTAATCGACCAAATCGAGGTAAATAAGAATTTTATCGAAAATTTCTTCAAACAATCATTATTTGTTATTTATTAAGCATGTATTGGTACACCAATTGGATCCACTGTCAGTGAATATGTCATCGCACAAATTGGTTGTTCTGGAAAAACTATTATTGATTTCACTTCTAGTTCTCCAGTTGGTATGACAAAGAGTACTATTGAAAATCCAAGTACTGGTTGGTACATCTGACATACGTTGTTTTTGTTCTTTTTTTAATATCTTAATTATAGGTATCTATCAAGTCATCCTCAGCTGGATTCCTACATCTGATCAATATGGTCCACAAGGATTCTGTGCAGGAGCTGTCGATGATACGGATGTTCAATCAGAACAATGGTGTATTACATTTTTAGTTGGTTTTGAATCACCTAGTATCATTCGACCGACTGTTGTTCAAGGTTCAGCTTCACCAATCGGTACCGTATTTCAAAATCAAACCCTTTTCTCAATTCAAAGTAATCTTAATGATATTAAATATAAAAGATAGGTTTAGGTTCGAATACTAATTAGATGGAATAAATAATAATAATGTATACATATAAAAGATTTCTGTAGAATATTTTAAATCTTGCTTTGTTTTTCAAAATTTTCTAAAAACCAAGAATAAATTCATTGATGCATATAAGATAGATGTTAAATTTAGCGACTCTGCTGAATATATATGATTGGTTATTGAATAAGTGAAAGAGATTAAGTAGAAATTCTATCAAATTAATTTTGGATCACTTTCTTCTAAAAGCAACTCTATCATATTATAAAATATTGTATTATTTAATTGTGTTTCTATTGTTTTTAGCTACACGTTCAGTTAGTCGACCAACACGTAATGGTACTTACATCCATTTTAAAGATGCTACTACAAATACAACTGTTCAATCATATGATTGTGGTTGGCAATCAGAAGTAACATATACTGGATATACAATTGTTATTCGTTTTCCAACTGCACCATGGATTGTAGGACATTCATATTATGTTATGTTTGATAGTGGTATGAACTTATTTCTATTACATTTCATCTTTTGATATGCATATTCTTATTTTTCATTTTAAGGTGTAGCTAGTGGAACTGAATTTTGTGGTAAATAGAATAGATTAACAAAATATCAATTAAAAAAATAACATGAATTAAATTAAATCATTAAAGGTCCTGAATCTGCACCAATAACTGATCCTTCATTTTGGGTTTTTGACATCTGGAATCCAGGACTTTCATCTACAACAACAACGACTACTACTCCACCAACAACTGGAACAGTTACAACAAGACCTTTATCAACTACAAGTGTCAATACTCTAGTAAGTTGATTGATATGTTATTCATGTGATCATTATTAATTTTTTTTTATAGTTGACAACAACTGGTATTGTAATTACAACTACATCTACTCGTTCTACAACAACTACAACTAGTTCAACTTCGACTTCAACAAGTAAAAGAAACTTTTATTTTTATTTGAATAAAACAAATCAATTAAAGTGAATATATAGTAAACATGTCACTATCTCTTTGGATATATAAAAAGAGTTTTCTATATACTTCATAAGTATATGTCTCAGTATCACATGAGAAATATATGTGAATTTAGTATTTGTTATTGTATAACTACGTAAACTTTGATGACTTAACGAAAAGAATTTATTAAATTATAGTTTTCATTAATAAGAATGCAATATATTTTCATGTGAATTGTTTTAGCTACAACAACAACAGATACAATTGCAGCAACTACGACAACAGGACCAGCTGTTAATGTTATGTATCCTAAAGATATGGTAGGTCTCAAATTGATTCTGATTTATTTCTCAATTATATATATTGTAGGAAGAAGCATGTCAACAATCAGTTATAATAATGAATGTTGCTACTATGGCTGCTATAATGCCTTTACAAGCTATAGGAATGTTTGTTGTTTTCACAAAATTTTATAATATGTTTAATCCATTAAGAATTGAAGTACAATTGAGACATAAACGACGAATTAAAAAACTTAATCGATATTAAAGAATTTTTTTTCTCCCTTGAATATTTGACATTTTTTCTTCATACTGTTTGATATAAGTTGGCAATCCTCTGAATAATAACAAAGAAAAACGAGCAATTTTATATATAAACTAATATTTTGCTTGTTCCATTTTAAAACAACGATCTTGCTGCATATATATGTTTTTTTTAGAATCTTAATATAGTATACTCTTCTTTTCTTTTTTGATTTACTAAATGTTTGATTTCGATGTGGTTCTTTTCTATTGAAATAAAATTTATTATTACAACTAAAAACTTTCCATTATTAATAGGATCATGTGTAATCAGCGACAGTAAAACGAGCCTATAATATCAGTGATCAAACAATTGAAATCATCGAAGTGTTAAAAGAATACTATTGATGATGTTTCAAAGAGAATGTTATTATATTATTGAAAACTATTTCTACGGTTCAATAGAGATACAATGATTCAAAACGCTCATCTTGCCAGAGAATCAAATTATTTCGAAGGTGGCTATTGAAAACTTCTCATTTTGGGTGTGGATGTTTTAATCTTCATACATACTCACACCCACAAGAGATAGGATCAGTCTGTTTTCAATTGATTCATCATCAAGATAGGTTATGCATTTTTTCAGTTTAATAAAAACATTACAAATTCGAAGTTAATTGAGTATATTACTAGGTTTTTTGGGATGTGACACCAATGATATAATTCAATGAAGTTGATTAATGTTTCAAATATTCATATACATGTTTTTTAAACTACCTGAGCTAGGAATGTGCAGTTTCAGTATACTGACCACCGATAAAGTCACACTGACGTTCACCGGTACACTAATGACACTAACACTGACTGCGCCGACGTTCGTATTCACTGAGGATGTGGGTGTGGATGTCTGATTGAAATACACCCACACCCACAGCTTAATGGGACAGAAAAAAACAGTGGAATAACAAACGCGGCTGGCGCAAAATTAATAAAACCAATCTATCTTAATTTTAAAAAATTCTTAAGCAAGTCGGAAAATTTATAGATAACACGACACCGAGATCAGAATTCTGTTAAGTTCTTTTTTTTCTGTACAACGATTAATCATAAAGTACTTTTTTAAATTCTTAACTGAATTTCTAGTAATTCATAGTTAGAGTATAACATTCATTTATCATATCTTCAAGTCATTCAAAGAGACTATTTTCGACAAGAAAAAAGTAATGCATGTTTGTTTATCACCATCATAATACTTTACTTAAAATTTTAGGTCACCTTCTATTTTTTGTTACTGACTTCTTATATAGACCGTCGAGAAATGTTATTTGTTCTGTTCTCACCTAAGCAGACAAACTTTTGAGAAAACAAGTTTATACGTATACAAAAAAGAGAAAAAAGTTGTTATGTTTTTCGAGCTCAAGAAACGTGATTGTATTCATGATTCTGCATCTCGAGTATGAAAAAACGACCACTTTTTGCTGATTTCACGTCAATTTCTGTGTATTTAAACGCGTTTTCTCAAAAGTTCGTCTGCCTGGGCAATAGAAACCACGGAATATTTTCGACGGGTAATACTCTTTACCATGCATGATTTTTCGTTCTCTTCGAACACAATTTATGAGTACTATTGATAACCAACATCTTTCATTTTTATTATCGCCTTTTTTGTTTCTTTATATCTCTGACAATGTTGTGTATCTTCAAAAATGAAATGATGGATGATGAAAATATTAATCTATTTCTTTTTTCTTTTTATGTGTCCTATCTCTAGTTGACGAATTATAGTGTTGTAATGAATATAAGTCGAAAAAAAAAACAGACCTATGCAGTATTTTCATTGGAGAATTTTTTTTATAAAAATCTTTGCTTTTTATTCTCCTTTTAAATGAAAAAATTCCTTTGGGTGAATCTCAATCGTTCTTTTTTACAATCTTTAAAATCAATCATCTGATAGATAACGCTCATAGAAATAAACGATACATAGCATCAGTCTCAGGAATGTTGAGTTTCGCCCAAGAAAAATTCGGATACGTTAATAGAAAACAACGAGAATTTATAGAAAATTTATTTAGTGGAAACATATTGTACAAGGTGTGTAAAAATGTTTTTCCAGAGAGGGATAATGCTGTGATTTTAAATAGAGTCGATAGCAAATTTTATACCAAATGAAAGTGCGTCAAAAATGGAATTTATCAGTATTAAATAGTAAGGGTTCTGTCAATCTTTTTATATCAAACTTAACAAATTTCTAGGAAATTTCGCTACTTTAGTATGAAAACATTTCTTCCATGAGGCAGTTCAAAAACTAAATTTGATTCATAATGATGGTTTTCTACGAAGTAATGCTCCAAAAATCACTAGAAATTTGTTATGTTTGGTATAAAAATATTGATAGAACCCTTATTATTTTATACTGATAAATCCTATTTTTGATGCCCTTTCATTCCATATAAAATTTGTCATTGATCCTATTTAAAATCACACCATTACGCCTGTAGAAAACCATTTTTATGCACCATATATCCAAAGATTTGTTATGTTTGATATAAAAAGTTTTGTAGAACCCTTACCGTTTAATACTGATGAAATCCCATTATTGACGCGTTTACATTTGGTATAAATTTTGCTATCAACTCTATTTAAAATCAGAGCATTACCTCCCCTGGAAAAACATTTTTACACACCTTGTATATTGTGATGTCCCAGTCGAGTTCCTAGTATGGCATTACTTACATACATTCCATTCTTCCCTTACCTCATTTGTATGTACCATTTTTTATGGCATCGTTCTTACTCATGCTCTTATTGCAATGTCATCACTCTTGTTCTCATTTCAAAGTCATCACTCTTGTTCTCAGTTCAATGTCCACATCTCTTACGTGTTCTTTTTTCTCTCTCCTTGGGTGAGGATATAAAAAGAGCGATAAAATATGTTATATGTACGATTCTCTTGATTAAAAGGAGAAATAAAACACAGTGTAATTCCGCTTACACGCAGGAAATCGTCACATATATCGAGTGAGCCAGAATAAATTCGACTGTGTATTTTTAATATTTCTACTGTGTGTTAAAGTCGACCGAGCTGATTTTTTTACTAAAAGATTTCCTGTTTAATTTTCTACCGAAAAATATATTGACTGTTGTCTTCGAGAATCCGAGCGTGGAAGATGATATAGGAAATTGTCACCAGCACAAAAACTGGATGTAGGTGTGAGTATTACTAGCTAGAAGGCACGAGTCCACATGAACACTCTCAGCCACACACCCACACACCACATAATTTAAATACAACTTTATTTTCATATTTTCTGGAACTTACTTAAAAACAATCTCATTGATATACGCCCAGAAAAAATAGTTAGAGTCTGTATTTTGAATATATTTCCACTATAAAAACAGTTTTTTTAAAGTAATTACATATTCTGAAAGCCCATGAAGTTTTCTATCGCTCTATATAATAAGGTTTTAGTTGAGATCAATTTATTACCAAAATAAATTGAGTGAAACTAAGGCACTCTCATATCGAGGTTTTCATAGATTTGATTTTGTCAGTGTCATCAAAATTAGTATTTTGAATTTTTTATTACTATAGTATTGTCTTTTTAAAAAAGTAACCATAGATTCTGATAGAACTTGAAATTTTTTATCACCTCGAATGTTTACTTATCTTTTAATATTTGTTTATAGAAAAGAAAAGTTGAGAAAATTAAACAGACCGTCAATCGACAAGTACCGAAAATCGTTGCTTTTCTCTTTTTCTCAAAATATGGCTACTATTCAAATAAGCTTTTAAAAAAAGAATTATCAATTCTGATAGAGCTTGAAATTCTCTATTATTGTGTACTTTTGAAACAAAAACCTGGAGAGGTAGTAAAACAGCTAATTCAAGGAGTGTGTCGACGTAATACTTGGATTATTTTTCGGCACATAACTACAAAATTATTAAAAAATATACAAGATGATAGAGAATTTCAAGCTCTATCAGAATCTATGGTTAGTTTTTTAAAAAGACAATACTATAGTAATAAAAAATTCAAAATACTAATTTTGATGACACTGACAAAATCAAGTCTGTGAGAATCTCGATATGAGAGTGCCTTAGTTTAACTCAACTTATTTTGGTAACAAATTGATCTCAACTAAAACCTTATTATACAAAGCGGTAGAAAACTCTATGGGCTTTCAGAATATGTAGTTACTTGAAAAAAAAATGTTTTTATAGTGGAAATATATTCAAAATATAGACTCTAACTATTTTTTCCGACCGTATATATTGAAGAGACAAATATTTTTTCTTGAGGATAGGATATTCTTACTTGTCTGAGTCATTGAATTGCAATCCCAATTCAGATTGGATTTCAGGAATCACAGAGCCCGTCGTTCTCCTTTGCGTTCATCATTTTGTGCTTTTTGAGTTTATACGCTTATTCGTCTTAGCTTGCTTAACTTACAGAATTACGAGTCGGTAAGAGTGCTACTTAAAACTCTTTGTAGAAAACTTCTCTTCATGCCGCTCTCCTTCGAGTTGGTCGTCTGTATTACATCTACTGCACTCTTCAACTGCAATGAATCTCACGATATATGGTTGCGTGAAGGGCTTGAAACTTATAAAAAGCATCAACACGCTCACATCACAACACCTTTGAAACCTGGTGTTGGATTTCTACTAGTGAAGTCTCTATTGGCATTGAACGAAGTCGCCGGTAAACAGCTGGTTGAGGTCATTCTTGTGTCACGGAACGACAGTGAGTCAGGAGAACGAGTGCGATATTCCATCAACTACTACAAACTTCCTATCACACGTATGTCATTCACCAGTGGTACGGAGGTTACCAGATACCTAACAGCTTGGCAGTGCAATCTCTTTCTTTCCACAGAAGAAGAGCAGGTGCGCACAGTACTGTCTGACAGTATTCCAGGTGCTTTTGAAGGAATAGCAGCCGGGTTGGTGTGCAACATAATGGCCGAAGTAGCATCCAATGAGTCCAGCACACGGTAAGCTTAAAACTCTTTTGGATCTAAGCT